TTACAGCAATTACCATTATCATCAACATGCAGGAGTCAGTATTCCAACATAAAAAACACTAGATCTGCCTTTTAAAATATTATAAAACCTACATAATTGTAAGTATGAATTGAGTTTTTTTTGGCTAACAGAAAAAAAACCCACAATGTGCTTTTCACATAGTCAGGTGTCCCACTGATAAAATAAGTCTGATGAAAGAGAAAGGCACTTCAGCAGGCTAATTTTTCTTCAGATTTTCCTAATATGCAGTACTAGACAATGGATGTAGTGTACTGCCTTTTAATTTGCACAGTGTTAGATTAGTAATATTGTTAACCTGTTTCACTTTTTAACTAATGAGAAGAGTTTAGACTGGTGCCTATTCATTTCATCCTCTTTGGTACAAATTACTGCATAAAAACAAAGCAGACAACTAAACATTCCTACACCCTGCATTACTTTTTGTGCATCATCTCTAGCTCTACATTGGTAAATAAAGTCCCTAAACATCAAATGAGTTTTGGTTTCAGGTTTGTAAGATACAAGAGTTCTTTTATTTTCTGACAGTTCTATCAAGATTTTTCCTGTTAATCAAAAGGAATTTTTAAGTGATTCCCCCCCCTTTTTTAAAAAAATTTCTATAATTTGTGGCATTTGGTGACAATCTGAAAGTTACTGTCAATTAGCTTATTCTAGGTAACACAGCCAGATTAATGCAAACACAGCTGCATTCTATTTTGCCTGATCACTTCCCTTATATTTATGATACATCAAAGCACTGACCTAAGCCACATGAATTAATCTGCAGAAACAAGCCTTGGCTGACTCCATTAACCACCTTATCAAAAGTATGTAAGACCTGGAACTGTATACCCTTCTGCAAGAAGAATACCAACATCATGTATTGCAACCATGGTGGGGAAACTGTCCTGAAGTTTATTAACCACCTTTCACCCTAAGTATATGACAAAATTTGGTGCTGAGTGTTCTGTATCTACCCAATACCCTTCACTTTAAACTCTACTTACATCTATGTGGCTTTTTGCAGAAGCTGACAGCTCAAGAAACATCTTGTGAAAAACTGAGATATAATTCTTGCAAACATTTGTGTTCTTCAGAAAGAATTGATTCCACTGAAGCACAAATACGTATCAGTTTGGAAACAAGCATCACAAAGAAGCTACATCCTTTCCAATTTTCCCCACTCATTCCCTCTCCTTAGAGGGGGCTTACTATAAAAAGGTGCTTCAGGCATGTCCCACTTCTTATTCTCAAGGTAATCAACCTCCAGATGCAAATAAGTGAAAACCTCTGAATGTTTCCCTGGCCTTTCGAAGAGCAGTGTGCCACAAATCCTTGCTGCTTCTTGCATAGATCTAATGTTAGCACTAGCATTTTAGCACTCTGTTAGTGCTGCAATACTAAGCCAACAGAGGAAAATCTTAAAAAATAAATTCAGTGATTCCTATAAATTCATGTGTGGAAATCGTATATATAAATATAGAAAAGCATTAGTTTGACCACAAAGACAAGTTTCATGATAACATTTTGTCTTTTCCACATATGTTACACATCATGTACAGTTATCTCTGGAATTAAAATTTTTAGAACTCAGTGTAGTCAAACTCCTTTTTTTAATGATCTAAAACCAGAAAGAATTCTAGTCGCTAATAGGTAATACAGGTTTCCAGTGCATAAATTCCAACATACAACTGCAACATGAAGACTCCAATAATATATTCTATAAGTACTGAATATAAATATGATGTATAATTCTAATAATTTTAGAGTTAAGAGTTTTTAAAATCCAAGATTTAATGCTTATGATAGGGCCAAGGAAGAATTCCCTGTCATTGTGTGCTTACGGGCATCAGCTGTTTTCATGTAGCATTTATCTTTGCAGATACAACTGCAACAGTAATTGCTTTCTACAGAATAGTTTTCTCATATTCTGACACAGAAAACAAGTTCTGTATTTATTTTTAATATAAAACTCAACTTTAGAAAAGCCTTTTCAAGTGTAACCAGCAGCATAAGACATTTGTGATAAACGCTAGCAAGTTACACACAGAAAAGTTGGTGTATGGGATCTACAAAGCAAGCAAAGATAGCTGTGGCTTGACTGGCATGGATAGAAGCAACAGCTGAAGAGAGCCTTGAAAATGGTATTACCAGAACTGCAGCATGTGCACTCCAGAAAAGAATTTAAATACTCCACAAAAAGAAAAGTCCACACCCTCATTAAACAAGGGAGGAGCTACTATTTAGTAGAGATAGATGAGATGCCTATTCTTCAGAAAAATTTGTTCTTTCTTCCTACTACTGAGAAGCCTAGCAGCAAGAAACTCCTGCAAGAAGATCTGTTCCACTCTGACTTGCTTTGTTGGCTAAAAGCTGAAATGCATCATTAATGCACAGCCTTTAAAGGGGCCATTTTGCACTACCATACATGCAGGGTAAAATTGTGACTAATCCAGACAGCCAAAAGCTCCTTTAGAACGATGGTACAGAACCAAACTCCTCTCTTTGCTCTTGATCAGCTAGCAGAGCAGACGAGAATCTGTACTACCTAAGCACATTTTTTGGCACTGTTACTTTGAAGTCCCAAAGTTATAACTGATCTTTTCAACATTTCTAATCCTTCTTCTTTGGTGAACAGATACCTAGTCTGATGCAGAACAAGAACACTGGAGTGCAAAACTTAGTTCCTTTGAACTCACATGAATAAAGCCATTTATAGTAGTCTGTATTTTTTAACAATACAGGTAAGTTTGAGGAATTGGGTCTTTTTGGTATATACAATGAAAAAATGCATTGAAAAAATCTGCAATATAAGTTACTGTAGGTGAACAAAATTTCCAGTGGAGACATATCAATTTAATATTAACACCTCAAAACCATTAGCTAGTCAGAGATTTTCTGTTATGTTCAACAGAATACATAATATTCTCTTTTTGAAAAGGGAGCCATCAGAACTGATGCAACTTAAGAGCAGGGCAATACTAAACCTCAAAAGTCAAAGCAGCTTTCAGAAGAAATGTACATCTACACAAAATATATAAATTGATTCCTACTGACATATATAAGAAAGCAAAGGATGAAAATATCAGTATTTGGGGCTAGAGAGTTAGCCATACACAAAATCCAGTGGAACTGCACATAGGGGAAAAAATATTATGAAAATGTATTCAGTATAGGAAAATTGAATTACAGTTACCTAAAAAGAGTACCAAAAGCATGCTAATATGACAAGCCATCTTCACCTCTGAAGTAAATGAATCGTATAATTAAACCAGATTGTTTTGTCCAATTTATAGACTTATTTGCACACCTATCTCCAACTTATTTTGCACTTTCATACTTGTGAACTCAACAAGAACATCATACTTTGTTCATGAAGCAACTGCACACCAGAAGTTGGATTGATGTATGGCTAGTACCATTCTGGTTACCTTGCGTATTCTTCTAGAAACAGGACCAGACAACTGACAATCCCCACATAACAGACATACTTCACAGTAATGTTTCCTGAGTAAATATTCCCAGAAGCCCAGCTGCATAGGATATTTCCCAACTCTTGAGTGTACTACAGGGCAGACAACCGAATGCACCTCACCCCACAATTCCAATATAGGCATTGTATGTTTGGGTCTTGGTACAGAACCTTAACCAAGCTCTAAGGGAAATATTTATAAAGCTTTTTTAGGATGATTTATAATCAAACTGCCAAAGCCAAAATGCTGGAACTTATTTCATCAGAGAAACAGCTTCAAAGCCACAGAAAGACATTCTATATGCTATATGAAGCACATTACGGGATGTATCTACTTTTCTGTTAGCCAAAGTTGAAACGATCACTTTGACAAGATGAACATTAAAAATAAAGAATATTCTGATGGCCTTTTCCTTCCTCTATACATATCTTAGTTACATTTCATGCATTCATGACTTTTGGTAAATTTAACTCTAAGATGAGTCATAAGTAGTATTTATATTGCATTATAGACCAAATTTTGCAATCTGCGCTCTCATGCTCGTAAAAACCCCCAACTTTTAAAGCCTGTTTAACCCCTCTGCGATGCACAACCTAGACAAAAGCAGCTCAGGCTGGCAAAATGTAGGCACATAAACCTCTCATGATCTTCCATTTTTTAAAACATAAAATGAAAAGCAACAGTACCCAACTTTTCTGTTGAAGGAAACTATTTCAAAGGCATAATTTGTCTAAACTTGCACACTGGGCCAAACTTATAAATATGCAGCAATTCAAGACTATGTTGTGGAGCACAATTGGCCCAACAGCATGCAGAAGGGAAGACTGTAACTGACAACGAAGCCAAAACAAGACACTGGGATCAGTAGCAGCAACAGCTTTGAATGCTACCAGAACCAGTCCTTTTCTGCTGGATGTGGACACTTCATCACAGATGTCAGTCTTCAACGTCCACAGTTCGTAATAAAGCAGATTAAAACAAAGCAAATGGGCAACATCTTAAGACAGCAGGGACCATGAACTGCAGCATCCACAGAGCTTGTAACACTTTCCCCTTCTGCCACTGCTATATGGAATGGCAAACTTTTGCACATGGATGGGCACAAAGGGAGGGCAGTAATGCTATAGAGCTCTACTGATAAATCCAACAGAGCTCATCTGCTGGTGTCATGGGACTAACTGATGAAACATTTTACATTATACGAAGAAGTAGTAACAGTTCCCTATAAAAGTTCACGTATAAAATACTGTACAGATGGTCACATTGATTAGGAACAAGGCTGAGGAATGGCTTTAAACTAGTCTACCAATGCATTAGCAACAAGTACAAAAAAACTGAAACATGTGCCTACATTTCTAACCGTGCATTCCCAGAGGTGTGTCCAAGAATGAAAGGCTAATTAAAATGTGGGCCTTCCCTACACTGCCAGCAAAACTAGGAACTGGAAAATTTTAATAGTAGCATTTCCCTGTTTTCAATTCACATTGAATATCAATTGCCTGGTTGAAGTTTAGTAACTCAAATCTGTATATTAAAAAAAACAAACAACTTTTCTTGATACTAGAAAACAACCTTTCCCTTGTAAACCCAACATTGCAGAATTACAGAAGTAGCCAAGAGATCAATAACCAGCAGGGAGAGCAACAAGACAAAGCACATTGTGTTTTAATTTATAGGAATAAGTGGCCTCTCCTCTCTTTTCTTCCAGATACTGGTTTTGCTATCTCTTCTCGTGATAGATGGCCTATCCCTTTTTTTAGCAGAAGGGATACCAGTTTCGTGACTTCCTGATACAGTTTTTCTTCTTAGACCTTCTTCATCATGCTGTTCTACAACTGGCCCATTCCCTCCATCCAAAATATGCCTCACAGCCTGGTCCTCTGGAGTGCAAACAGTGGTCCCACTTTCACTGCTACTTAGATCCAGATCTTCCAAGTAAAGAATCTTAGAATGCGGCATATTTTTTATGAAAGTTTTCTCTCTCTCCAGTTTCCTACTAGGATGATGCTCATTCATGTCCACACCAGAGTCCAGACTGGTATCATTACTCTCTGTTTTTCTGCCCTTTTTCAGATCTATGAAAGAATGCCTCACTTGAGCGATCGGCTTTCCATCCAGGGATACAAACCATGCTCGAGGGTGCGGAGATGGTTTTCCTTTAGAGAGTTCCAATAATGTTTGTTCTGAAATACCTTGAAGTTCAGATGAAAATGGAGTCATTACAACCGCTTCATTCAATGTCCCAGGAACAGAGACAGACTCCAGTAAGCTATTAGTGTACCGGCCCCAGTTTGATGTTTGAGAAGGTAAGCCCTCTTCACTATCTAATGTACTGTTTTCATCTCTGCAGACAGAAGGCTGTGGATGAGAGTGCACTGGCATTTTTGGTAACGTTTGCATGTAACTGTCACGATTCATGGGTTCCATCATGGGGCTATATACTAACTGCCCTTTTCTTGGCAAAGTTGCTGATTTTGCAGGATGCAATTGTTCTGGGGAGTGGAAAAGGTCAGAGGTTTGAAGAATAGCAATAGGTTGATTGTAAAGATGCATTAGATGTTCTGGGATATGGGAAAGCCCATACATCTCCTCTTTCAGTGAAAGGTACCTGTTTTGGTCTTGAATGTCCCTAGGAGCCTGGGAAATAGTAGCGTTACTATGTTTTGGCGGCTGTAAATGCCTAACTCCAGCATTAGGCTCCAATGAATTGGCTGAATTTCTTGACTGACCAGTCTGACATGATGACTGATAAGAAGCATCCTCTGTGTAGATTTTAAAATTGTCTCGTGATTTTCCCTCTTCTGTGTCTATGGACATCCTTCTTTGAGGGCTGTATGAAGAAATCTTCGGTGTATATAACTGTGACTTATCCTCCAACTGTAAAGACCCTTTGACAGCATTGACGTGATTTATGTGAGTTGTTGACGTTGTCTGGTCTTTTTTTATGACCTCCAGTCTAGTTGTATTTTTTTCCTTCTTTTGCGTCCGACCACATTTATCCCTATGCAAAAGAGATGCAAGGTGACTGTAGAGCATACTAGGAAATAATAGACTGTTGACTACCAGAGCTGAAGACTAGATTTTTGTTAGGAAGAATGTGACATCACAAACTTAAAATGAAGTTCTATAATAACTGGAATTTTTGAAGAAATATTAGGCTACACATTATAGTTTAGCTAAGGAAACAAGTCTTAACTTCAAGAGACTATTTTATCAACCTTAAATTCTACTCATGCTGAGCCTCTCTTTTTGCTTACCTGCAGTAACAAAGAAGAACAGAAAAAAATCCAATGATAATGACAACAGTACCTCCCAGTATGGCCGTAAGGAAGACTGTGTGATAGGCTGTTATGTCCTTGGAAACCGCACTAATAATGGATTCTAGATTGTCGAACAAAACCAGACAAGTATTAGTTCTCAAAAACAAATAATTCCACTTGATATGCAGAGCTGTAGCTAATAAATTAAACTGTACTTTTCCAGTGATTTTGTGTTCCTATGGCACTACATTCATCCTTCCCTTTTCACCTTGCTATTTCAGCAAACTGGAAAATACACAAACAGTGGTTACAATATAATGGATCTTCAAAGGTTCATCTCAAGTACTAAAGCCTTACCATGACACCTACTCAATTCCTGTCAAATTACACTTGTATTAGTTGTCCAAACTGACCTAGAAACACAGTCTACATTTTCTATTTAGTGCTTCTATCACAAAGTGCTATCTGTCTTTAAATTTTGACATCATATTTCTCCAATAAGAATCCCTTCATATGAATTTGCAAAACATGCAACAAGTCTACATAAAACAGAATCCACTCCGACCGTTTTACCCAAGACTAATTTTCTTCTTGTATTTCCTCCTGTCATACATCATCCTCAACAGGAAGGGATACAGTCCTGCTGATTTTTAGATCTCCATAATCACAGGTCCCTTGCAGGCTTCTTTCAAAAGATGGAGACAATATAAATATACAAGTTGAAATACAGTCTGGACTTTTCCCCCTATAGCATTTGAAGTTCTAGGAAACTGTTATACGCACAAAGGCATTGAAACAAAAGTTTTCTAACTGTTGAAATTGCATGTCTTTTCTCCCTTTCTGTTGTTAAATAAAGCCAAACTGACAGCCTTAGATACATTGTTACTTAGGTTACTCAGTAATTTCTTTGCCAGTCATTGTAATACCTCTTGTTCCAGGCAGTGGAGCTGCTATCCAGTAGCCTAAGTGTTGAGCAGTATATGTCCATACTAATTGACCATCTGCTTCCTTTACCATTCCTAGCCCACGGCTTACCCAGGCACCTGAGAAAAAAAAGAAAAAACAGACAAAATATTGCACATGCCATGCAGGATTCTTCTTTATCTCAAACCATTAGCAATTAAGCTATTACCAAAAATATACAAGGTCACAAGAAAAACTGAAACTTCTGACCTATATACTATTTATTACACAGCTTTCACTAAACATGCAAACTTTCTCTCTTGATAATTTCATTTCAAATATACCTGTGTGGACATTTACTTTGAAACAAATCCTCAAAATTACTTACCAGAATTAATTTAATATAATTCATTTTCTATTAACAAATGTTTTTCATAGATATGCACACAAATAATTTGAAAAATCCTATTATATGAGCTTAAGCATGTATGAAGGCCAAGACTAAAAAAAAAAAACCAACAAAAAACTACTAAGGAGCAGGTAATCTAAGCATACCAATACAAGTTTAATATTAGCTAGCAGCACTTAGTGGCAAAGCATTATTGTAGCATAATAAGTTACAATAGGATAAACAGTGTCTTGAATGTTTCTCTCCTTCTCCCTGCCCCAAGGCAGTAACAGTTCAGTTCGCCCAAGGAAGGTCTATTGTTAGGACACAGATTCCACACCATCTGTTTGGCAACACAAAGGACAGGTATTATGGTATGCCAGCTTCTACAATTAATAAAGCATGCAGTAGAAGAGACAGAATTCTACTGAACACACTTGAACGCATTTATTGTGGTCCATCTGTTAAATTCTAAGGACAGAAAACAAGCTCATACTGAGAAGGAGAGAGAACCACCAGCTTTTTTAAAACAACAATAACCAAAGCATGCAAAAATTATAATTCATATAAGCCCTACAATTTCAATTTCTCTCCAGAACACTTCTTTCACCAAAGCAAAAGGAAATATCAACCGGACAGGAGGTAAAGATGAGAACTCACACATGCCACAATGTGCGCATGCACAGACACGCACACGCACGAAGTATCATTCGGCAGTAAAACTTGCAGCCTTCTCCTGGTACTTGTGATGGCTGGCAGAGGGAGAATAGCAGCAGCAACCAGCCACCTAGAACCCTGAAAGACGTGGTTTCTCAGTTACCTGGAAAACCTCTTGTCCAGACTCAGGAGCAAAACCAGCCAGAAGAATCTTCCATCCCTAACTCTCATATTAGAGGCAACAACAACAGATCCTCAAATTCTCTGTCCTGTCAACTCTAAGGCAAGATACCACTATAAGGCAAAACTATTGTTTTACAAGTATAGAGGGTGGGTTACTTACAGGCAGATAAAAACCAACACAAACCACCACATATAAAGGGCAAAAAAAATTCTAGGTCTCCAGAAGTTCTATCTTGACAGAACAAATCTGTAAGAAGCTATATAATCTCTGCTGTCCTCTTCAGTAAATTATATCTCCCCCTGATATACTCCACAGAACATAGCACATATTAAGAAAAACATGAAAATGTGATTTATGAGTAAGCACATATTCTCTTATGACTTACTGCAATCCAAACAGAAAGATAAGATTCTCAATTTAATGTTGCAATGCAAGCTTTTTTTTTTTTTGAAATTCTATTATAATCCATAAAGTACTTTTGGTACTAATGAGGAAAAATATTTAGTAAGAAGGAAGCCAAGTTCAATATACATCAACAAATTCTGCATTTACAGCAGCTGGAATATAATTACAAAAGCTCATTTTCCAGGAACAGTCTCAGTACTATTACACATTGAGTAACACCAGGGAACACTGCATGAGCAGACATGTAAAAGCAGTTTCTATCGTCTTCCTGGCATGTATGGATCAGCCTACACAATATCAAACACAGACCTGTTCCCTTACTGCTATCAATACTGATACGGAAGCTCTGATTACCATTATGACATATTCCCCAAGGACTTGAGAGTTTAAAAGTGTGTGTCAACATCTTGCTGGGGACAACCCGCATGCAACATCTTTGGATGCCAGAGTCTCCTTAGTGCAGTGGTAGCTCACCATTCAGCTCAGATGGGGGCCTGCTGCTACTTATGGACCCTCATGAATGCTTGCTGGAGAGCCTATGCGTTCAGCTGTCCTCAGTTACCAGAACCTTGACTAAGGAACACCTTGCTGTTACTCAGTTACCATAGAAATGAGTCATTTTGCACATGTCAGATCAAAGGTAAAAATAAAAGAAACGTATTTAAAAATTAACATCCAGAGCACTGTATACAGTTGCAATTTTGACTGTAGAGAAGAGATGAGGAAGTGGAAGAAAAAGTAGAAGTTAAGAGTTATGCACAAAAAGTCTCTATGCTTGTCCATAGTCCTCCTTGTCCTCTCTCAGCAAGCAGCAGTGAAGGCTCCACGCAAACACTACACCTCAGTGAGCACCCATCACAAACAATTTACCTTTACGGAATCTCTATCAGAGTATACCCCATCTGACAGGAAAAAACCCAACGGTTTTAATAGTTTTTATTGGGTCAGCATACCACACTCCTGCTCTTGCTCTACCCCCAAGGCCAACATGCCTAAGTAGGCATGCTGAGTAGGCCCCTCAACACCCACATACACACCTTACACTGGTTTATACTCTAGCCTGACCCTGTGCCCAGCTGCTCTAGCTCTGTCAACTTTTTGGTTTAGTACCATTGTTGACCTAGTTTTCTGTTTAGTGAGTTAAAACAGTTTGGCATAGGTACAGATGAGCACAGGAGCTGGCAAAAGTGGCTGTGGCAGCAAGAAATCAAACCCCTTTGTGCTATTTTACCACGTCAGACTAAAACCCTTTCTTTGATGAAGAATGTTAACCCTTATCACTGGTTACCCTTCTGAAATCTTCTAGGTGTGTAGACAGACTTAATCTTCTATGCCAAAACTTATTCTATTCACTCTTTTCCCAAGAGACAACCTAGCCAATTTTTTATTAGCATATTCTTCATTCAAATTAATGTTCTTTGGTTGTTCTTCATTAAGATGAACAGTTTGTTTCTTGAACATGTAAACAATGCTTTGCTGGAGTTGGTGTCCTCTCCTGTACTTTCAACAGTTGAATAACAGCTTTTTGCCTTAATAAGGAGTAAGACGCTTACCTCTTCATTCGCATGCGTATTTCAAGACCAAGTGTGATGGAAAGTATAAAGTACAATTTAAGACAATCAGTACACTAATGCACACATGCCTAATACAGGACATCTAAATGGGATAAGTGTACGTAGCTCATTACTCACTCCTGACTAAAATTAGACAGGAAGGGATGACAAAAGGTTTAGAATGTCTAATCCCCAGCCTCCTCTTCCCACATATACTGTAAGAACTATGCTGTTCCCTCTGATAACTCTTATTTCACCTTCATTTCACTTTCTGAATTGCTTTTGTTAACTGAAGCAATATCTATCCAGGTTTAGTGTCAAAGAACCTTTAGAGCTATACTCTAGGAAACAAAGCATCCAAGTCTTCAATTCTTATTTTTCTTTTAAGAAGGCATTCACAAAATTACCAGGCTTAAAATTTAACATCACCTAAAACATATGTTCCCTGAATCCTTAGCCTCCTCTGAAAATAAAAATCCATCACATGTAAAATTTGTTCAACAGGAATGCTAATGGATTTTACCAAAGCTTTTTGAACTCATGTAAGCAGGGAAATTCCTTTGAACAATTCAAGTTAACCAATCAAAAATAATACAGAACCCCTAATAAAATTTGTGGCTATTTACCACTACCTCATATATTACTGCAATCACTGTCTCATGACATAGTGTCATGTGCCCAAAACTATACACATATCCTAAAAGGTAGAACAACACATAACTCAGCCCACTTACCAGTTTTCATATCGAATGTCCATGCAGGTATAGCATCTCCTGATTTTACAGTACTTGTGGGAAGAGGAAGTGTAATCTGAATGGGACCATTTACTTTCAGTTCTTTCCCAGTCAAAAGAACATTTACGCATATTGCAGCAAGAGGAGCTAATTCCATGCTTTTGAAACCTGAATGTAAGAAATATCTTGTCTGTAATTTTCCATTCATAGTCTATTTCTTAAAAAAAATATTTAGAATTAAGAACCTATCCTTATTATAACTAAAGTCAAGCCCTCATTCGCATCCAGTTAAACAGTCAGCTGTCACCAACTTGGTCAAATAAAAATAAACATTTCTTCTCTTCTGGACTTTTAAAATCTTGTGATAAAAATAAAAACCAGTCATTTCTACAGCAAATCTGTAAAAGAGAAACAGACTTTTGACACATAGGTCCAATGCTGACTGTAGAACCAATGATTAGGCAAAACTTGGCTTGGGGGTGGTGGAAGAAGGGTTTTTCCCCTCAGATAATTTGATTACAAAATAGCTAACCTATGTGAAATATAGACAATATAAGAATTTTTGTATAATTGCAATATATATAACATTGAATCAAACTGAAGACTTATGTAGATATATGACTGCTGCATTTCTCCTTAGTTGAACAGTCCTCTTAAACTCTCCTGTAAGGATTAACTTTCTAATTTGGCAGTTATAATCAACTGAATAGTTAATCATGAGGCTTGTCAAAGCACTCAAAGGAAACATTGCATATACAAAGCTTTACAATGCAGTTTGTAAAAAAGTTTGTTTCCTTTGTTTTCCTTACACTAATTTGCAAATACTTCAGAATGCACAATATGACAGGATGGTGAAAGAAGCTGAAACAGAATTAGTAAGTACCAGAAAAATGTTAAATCTATGCAAGCTGTTAGAAGCTGGTTGTGAGAAAACTCCTGATGCATCAGATATCAATTAGCTTCCACCTGCCTTAAAAGGAAGCCCATTCCTTTAGGAGTATATGAATAATTTAAAACATATGCCAGACATTGAAAGGAAAACTCAAAGGGGAGAAACACTGCTTATTCTCTTATGCTTTACATTTAAAGAGGTGAACTATAGATAAGAAAGGTTTTAAAATATGTAAGTCAAGAAATCAATATATATGATGATTTTAATTCAGTGGAAATTAAAGGAGAGCATGACAAGTTCAAATAAGCCATGTAGTGGCCGCCTCCTGTGCTGCAATGAATTTAAGAGCCTCATGGCTTCAGGTCCACTGGGAATAGTAAGAAAAGAACAAAAGAAACACAGAACTGCACACAGTACAATCTACCAGAGATTACTGTATTTATGCAAATAAAAAAACCTGACAGAATAACAAATACTAAAAGATCCAACTGCATATGAGCAGAGTTATAATGACTCACCAAACCACTTACTACTTCTCCAGTGAAAAAGATGCACAGAAAACATGATTACAGTTGTGCTCAGTATACTTAGTGACTACTTGGTTTCAAACAGGCTTACACAGATTAACTGTCTGTGAGCCAAACTAGAGCTTCCATACAATCTTTATGCTAGGTGTAAAGCTCCTAGAGCCAACCATTCTAGTAAAAATGCAGAAAACCCCTCAGCTGAAGTCAGTTGCTGCAGTTTTACTGATTTCTTTAGGTTCACCTAGTTTACACTCTGGCCATAACCATATTTTTAAGGCGCTTACTAAACCAGTTCCACAGTCTCATGAGATCCTGAACATAACCTATACACATACACACACATGTGTATAAAAAGCAGCCTGAAGGAGTATTTTGGTGTAAGACATGTTATGTTCTCATACTACATGGAACAAGACAAAGAGTGACATCAGTTACTTACCTGATGTGTTCATAGCTTACTCCTGTAGAAGAAAGCTTTGTGATTTAATGCAACAGAAGCAGGTTCTGGCCCTTTTAATTTAAAGCATATGTTTTTCTGAAACACTCTGCACTCATATGCATTATAATTTGAAGATTTCTTCTTTAAAAAAAAATCTTAAACAACATATTTACATACCAGATTTATTTAGAAGAATTCCTGTTGTGTAGAGAAAGCTGTCCACTTTCAAAAATTGCTCTGGCACTGTCAGATAGGCTGTAACATTTGTAATATGGTGATTTGTTGGAAGCTTTATTAAAAATTTTGGAAACTGAACACTTGGTTGAGATTTGGCATCTGTAAAAGAGTAATATTTTGTCTTAGCAATGGTAAAACATACAGTGTTTTTATTACTGTTCAGAAATCCATTTAGCATAACAACTTGGTTTCACCCATTTTCTCCATGGTTTGTGTATTTCTAGTCTAGCACTTGTCACAGCCACACATACAGGCTACACAATTAACTGAAAATCTGGCTTTGAGTAAATAGGTATTATAAGAGTATATGAACATGCTAAATTTTTTTTTGTATGTGTACACATGGTTATCACAAAGTGTTTGGATTATGGTCTGCATACACTGAACTTACCAGACAGTTTTCCAGTAATTAAGACAGTATCTTCAAACAGCCATATATTAGCTTGACTTTGTGGGAATAATGAAAGCGTCACAGACGAGTATACTGTGGAAAGTGATAATATCTGTTACACTGTGCAACCAAAAAAATGCTGTTAAGATCTCCAGTTCTGAGGGAATACTGAATAGAGCAGTTAAAAAAAAGAGAGTATATGAAGACTGGATAAATAAATTACTCCTGTTGTCCAGAGCAGGAATTTCAGTGGTTAGGCAGGAAGATCTCTGTTGTATGTTTGCTACTGTTTTGTGCCTTCTATGGATAAACAAGCAGCTAGAACTCTTAAGAGTCCATCTCTTTTAAAAGCAAAAAACCCCCACCTCATATAACTTTAAGAGCATGCAATAGTGAAACAGGAAAACTTGTGAGGAAACACTGCTGAGAGGAAACTATAACAACAGGTTATACCTGTTATACAGGACTCAAAGCATCCAGGATCACTAAAGGACTCCAGGATCACTAAAGACAACATGATTTTTTTGTCAAAACACATTACCAGCCCTTTGCTAAGTCTAGGTAAACAACTTCTCAGAATACACTCATGGTATCGCAATATAACCTACTTGAAAAGGGCTATTTTCTGTTTTACAACAGTAAGAACTTTGACAAGTCTAATGGATCATTCACCCTTACATCTGCATTGACAGGCGCGACCTCCCTTGACTGACTTCATTCAGTCTTTTTCAGTTGACAGTAACTACCCAGACTGCTGAAGAAGAGAGAAATTTAATTACCGACAGATACAGATACAGTTTAATAATAGGACTTTAAGACGCTTACGTACTTGGCATTCTCCCAGTCTTCCAAGGCAAAGGTGTTAACATGTAGCCATCCTTGTACGATAGGATAGTTAAGCTTAATCCTAATTTGTAGGGAACTTTTATTAATACTGCTCCATTGCTACCAGTAAGAGTAGAATTTGTCTTCGTGTAGTTAACAAACACTTCCACAACCGCTTGTCGCAGGTACTGATGACTGATGATGTCATTTACTTGAACTTTTAGTGTAAAAACAGATCCTATTAACAGAATGAAAAAACAGGAGGTCATAATACATCATAACTTAAGGACCATAACTTAAATTTGTAAAGAAGCCCTAGAGTTTATGCCTTATCTATTCATCCACTGTATGGTCGATCTCTATCTCAACAGAGGGTAAGATCTGGCCAAAGCGAGGGGTAATCATACAATTGTATACCACAGAGAAGAAGGAAGCAAAAAACCTTGAGATGGGGCACAAAGATGCCAAAAAGTGTTTACCAAACTCAGCAAATATAATACCTAACCAGTTAAAACCAAAAAACAACAAACCAAAATTACAAAACAATTCTTCCCCTTTTCATTTAATCTTGAACAATGCATCTGGGATAATGGGAGATTCAATGTGCCTTGCAAGTGCTCTGCAATACCACACTGATAGTATATGGTCTTCTTATCCAAGTATAACCCATGGCTTGGGTCACACATTTAAAGAAGCACCTTTAGTTTCTAAAAACAGAGAACCTAATGTCTACAGACTGTGGGATAACACATTTATTTTTACATGTGTAAAATTATTGTACAGTAACCAAATGCATCCAGACACTTCGACTGGTTTAATCTATCACGTCCCATCAGATTTACACTTCTGGTCTAGTTTTCACCTTTCTGCATTGCAACTTCTAAATAATATTTGTCTATGTCTAATTAGAGGATCTGACATTCCTTTACAACACCTAGCATCTTGCAGAGATCATAATTACAGTGATTGAGCAGTATCTTGAAAACAGTAAGTCCACTTGAGTAACAGTCTCAAGATACTCTGAATTATGTTCAGTTTCTCTCCCACCTTGATTGTAAATAATCTATCAGGGAGTGTTTTCATAGACAGCAGATACATGGAAACAGACAGAATTCCATGTTATTTCCATGTGAAATTAAGTTACTATCATTAATTAAAATATCTATGGACCACTGTTAAAAATATTTCAAACAACATCAATTTTCCAGTAGTTTGGTTGCAGACATACTACTATTGAACACCACTGCACTACTTCATACCCCAGTATTTTCAAATAAATTAATTATGAACATGCATTTCTATTTAGGTCAAATGTCAGGCTAAGTTTGTTTGAAATTTATCTTCCTAAAATCATAGTTCATTTTATTATGTTCTCTCCTCTATAATTGAGATTGACATTGCACCAAGAGATTACTACCATTGACCTTGATTTGAATGAAAAGGCCTTGAAAAGCTGAGTGCAATCCATCAAAAAACCCAGCATGTAGTGAAGACATCCAAGTTAGGCCTCTCTGAAATAAGTATTTATTTAGATCTATTGTATGCATAGAGCATATCATATATTCAAGCAAAAAATGACCTGCACACAACAAAAGCTACACTGGCCTCAATTTATTACTATTTATTGCATACACAGCAAAAACTTACCAGCTGTGCCAGTTTGATTCTCTCCAGTGTTATAGAAAAATCTACATCATCTTGTGCAATTAATATATACTTTCAAAAAAAGAAAAAAGATCCCAATTGTACTCAAACATATTTGATTGAATTAAACAGAAAATGAACAATAATCTTGGAACAATGTAATCTGTCTTTTTTTTCTTATGTGTGATATTTCTAGAATAAAATTGCTTTTGAATTGCTGTTGCTAGAGGGTTTTTAAATCACATGATAAAAAAAATATGTCATGTAAGCAAATTATGGCTACTAAACAGATCTTCAAGGCATTGATCCAGTTACACATATGCAAAACTGGGAAGACAGGTCATTTGCCCTTGGTCAATGACTATTTAAAAGGCTACTAAATAGGGAAAACAGACTGTGTACAATGTTCTGAATCTGTAATCACTTGGAAGCCAGGAATATCTCGTGAAATGGTATTTAAAATTAAGAAATTCAGTACTACAAAATCCAAGCTCATGCCAGTAGGAACCAATCCCAGAAATGCCTGGTATGAACTAGTATTTTAACAGCTGGAATCAAGTCAGGAGAAAAAGAGCCTAGTATTAACAGCTGAAATAAGTCATAAACCAATGAAAATCTAGAATGTACTCAGAAAGACACTTTCTTTCAATCATTTCACACTTTTCATGTGTATTTTTCCATTTCCTGCTATAAGCCTTATGAAAACACAGGTGGGGGAGTCACTACATTCCTCCTCCAGCTGTTAGTAAATTCAAAGGTTAATTGTGCAAAAATATTTCTTCCTCTCATCTCCTTCAGCTACATCCATATTAAAACCCGCTTTTTTACAAGCTTTTGGTTAAAAAGAAAAAAAGGCTGCAAAAATGTAGAAAGCTATACTATTTTCACTCTTTCTCATCATGAACTGACAAATATCATTGGCTGCCTTTAGCCATACTCAACTTCCATTACCTCTTTCTCATATGGATTCAGAAATTGCCACAGCATTTTTCAAAACTGATACTCTGCCTGAAATGATGTTGAGAAGATGCAGAAGCATAGTTGTAAATGCAGACTGAACTCCTAGGGGGTTAATAAGACAAAGGTCTCCCATGTGAAAACACACAGGGTCTTATATAATGCAAGCTCTGAAAGAGTAATTACCTGCATATTACTGTTATCTATGTAAGTAACACTTACTCAAGTGAAAAATGCTCACTTCACACCCACTAATATTAAGACAAAGATTAAAGGAGACTGAATTCCTAGGTCTAGGCTTTTGGCCTTATCTTTTGTGCTAACACAAGACTCTTCCTGGAGAGAGAAAGTATGCCAATCATCTGGAAGTTGTTCCCTCCCTGCAAGTAATATACACAAGCAAAACATTTACATTTTCTAGTATCAACCAGAATATACTCTGCCAACAAGTCACCTGAAGTTTGTGTGCAGTGATTTTGGGAAGACATTTTTAAAAAAGAAAAAAAAGTAATCGTCTTTTAATCCCTCAACAGTAACAGTGCAGAAAACACGGGCACACAATATTATGCCTCTGAATCCAAATGTTAGTGAAATGACAATATGTAAAAAATCCTCGTTAAGAAAGCCAGCATCCAACAGTAACAACAATTTTCCTCCCCCACAGCCAGGTTTCACTATTGTTTTGTATAAAACAGAGTGTACCAGAGCATCCTACAGCAGGCCAGCTGTAACAGCCTAGCTAAAAGCAAACCAATCATAAGGTCCTAAGAGCTCAGACTGTGTGTGCAGTAGTGGCCCAACATGTATGACTGATCTGTATCTTTCCAAACTTGATATCCCTTGACCAACCCCCTCACATGACTCACATGCATTTAATGTGCAAATTTATCAGACACATTTAATGGCATTGAGTTATGAACAATGTCACATTAACACTCATGACATCTAATTTGCAAAGAAAATCCTGGGGGTTTTTTTCCTCTTTTTATAAAGATCTTAATGCACAAGTCTTTAAGGACACTTTTAAGTCTCAAATATGATGCAGACTGCAGCAGCATTTTTTAATCACAATAAAACGTACTTAAAAACATTTCAGATGGAGAGATGAACTGTTGGTTAACAAAACCAAAGCTGATAAATTAAACAACAGATGAAACTTGTGCTTTTTTCCGGTCACTAACACTTGCCAAACACAAGTGGGTCAGCTGTATCTCAATATTAAACAGATTTGACAGAACTCCTACAATTAGAAGAAAGAACTCAGTCTTAGCTAATTTGATTTGTGCTGCCTCAGAGGAAGGGAGATTTGTCTCTTGGCAAGTCCACTGGAAATGCCAGTTTCCACAACATTTAAATGTTTGCTGATAAATGATCATACAAATGCAGCAGTTACTTAGACAAACAGGGCCTTCTACCACATTTAGCTACTTCAGATACGTCACAGCCAGTAAAGTGACATCTCATTTCTGCAAGCAACAACATCTAATGCCTGGAATTTGGCTTCACATCACTGTCCTAACTTGGAAATCATATCACAGAATTAAGCCAAAGAACTGCTTGGAATTGCAAGCCGGGTACAAAGCAGTGCAAAAAATTCTCTCTTTATAACACCACTATGTAATTTGTTCTTAATTCTTTACCTGCAGATAAGCAGTCATCTGGTTACCACATTTATCTGAGATTTAATTAACATGGCCAAGGCCACAGACCTTACAGGCACCAATATATTTCAAACTACATTTATCATTAACTGTGAGATACAGCAGTGAACACACACATGCAGGGCACTGCCCAGGAAGTATTCCTATACATTTGGCGACCCAGACACAAGCCCCTCTTCCTATCTGTCACCAAGGTCCTATAGCAAACGAGGTTCTACACCTCGAAGGAGGCAGTTACTCTTCTCAAACACAGACAACTACCCAATTAAGCAACTACCTTATGGAGTGGAGGGAACAGTAACTACAACTAAATTGTTCATTAGTACCTTCCCTCAGAGAAGACTTTTCTCATTCTTGCCCAGAGATGTTTAAACCCATGCCAGAAAAGGCACATGCTTACCTGTGTTCTGTGGAAACTGCCTACACAGTATTACCATGCTCCCGGCTAACTAAACAGATGAAACGTGTGCTGTGCAATTTGCTTCGTCTTAGCTGACTGAACAATAATTTTTTCCATCTTTTCCATTCATAGAACACCATCTTTTTTGGTTTAATATAATTAGGAACATGAAAGGTGCACTGATCCGTAAAGAAGAAATCACATGTTCTAAGAATATCAGGTTTTACTACACATGCAGTATTGCAATGGATTTTGCCATTACGGGGTGGGGGTAGGGAAGATCAATGAAATACATAATCTACACAGTCAACACACATCTGGCTTTAGTAAAACAACATCATATAAAAGCAATCCTCCTGCCCACAAAACCCAATCATTACTACTTAAAATGTCCTTAAAACTACAGTAATGCTAGTGACAAACTACAAAAGTGTATCTATAAAAAGTAAAAGCCTATTATACCTTCAAAGCTCATTAAAAATCCATGTACATGAAGGTGAGTTGTGGCAGCAACTAACTGACACGGCAATGATTTAATGCTGAAGTAAGCCCTCCTCACCACAGTGCACCATCAGC